AAGACCTGGGAGCCAGATGGACAAGCAGGTGACAGACTGGGTGTGCCGCTGCCCTAGCCCAGGGCGGATCCAGRGCGCTGTCCCCTGAGGTCCTCCGGGGTGCGCAGTGGTCAGCTGGGCAGTCCTGGTGCCCTGTGGTCAGTTACCCTTGGATTTTGTCCTTCTGGGGTCAAGGACGGAACTTTCTAGCAACTTGGGTCCCCCATGGCTCGCTGGCCGTCCCCAGGTGGGAGGAGGGGGACTGGTGTCCAGTTCCCCGCACGACCCGCTGCCCAGTGCTCAAGTGGCCACTGAGAATCAGAGAATGAGGAGCCAAGAAAGAGGACAGCAGCCAAGGACGCTGGGCTGGGGACTGTCCTCAGCCGCAGGGGGGTGGGCAGCCGAGGTCCTGAGCTGGGTCCCGAGAGGGTGAGTGGCCCTGGTGACGTGGTGACATGGTGACATGGTGACATGTGACCGGGGCCTGTCCCCTGCCTCTCAGGGCTGTGTCCCTCTGAGATCCCTGAAATGCCCACGCAGGGGACACCTCACCCTGCTTCCTTCCTCCTGGGGACAGTCACCCGTGTGTCCTCCTGCGGGTGACTGGTCACGACGGCCGGATGCGTGTCCCTGGCTCTCAAGGACGTCCTGACGGGGTCGGGGCGGAGGGGGACCAAGGGCCCYAACTCAAGTCCCTGTGCATGAAAGAGGGACAGCATCCGGGGCCTGCGGTGGCCGCTGCACCCCGTGCATCTGTGTCCTCTGTCCTCACCGCCAGGCCCTGGTCACTTGGCCTGGCCCCTGGCCCCTGGGTCCCCCGAGCTCAGCTCCCCTCCATCTGCATTTCTGCTCCTGCTTTGGGGGACCCTGAAGCCTCCTGGAGGCTGATGTCCCCTGAGGGGGACCTGCCCGTCAGCCCCTCTCTGCTGCCCTCTGTCCTGCAGCCCCAAGCCTTTCCTGGGCGCTGGCCCTTTAAGATTGCAATCAACCCCAGAGTGGCTGCCAGGTCCCGCGCACAGCTTCCAGAACCCAGGGCTGGCTGTGGGCTGGGGTGGGGGGCTCCCGGGTCCCTTCCGGTCTCCAGCAGCTGGGGTCCCTCTGGGCCCTGCAGGGACATGGAATTTCCCCCTCCCCCACATATCAGGAATCCCCGTCCCTCCCCCCTGAGAACTAGGTCCTCCGCAGAAGCCGGGTTCAGGGCGGGTTTGCACCAGCCGCCAGCGCTGGGGGAGGGTCACTCTCAGGCTCCCGGTGGCCCTGTCCCCTCTGGAATCCCAGGAATCCCTTTCTTCTGCGAATCCCCTGACCCTCGGGGAGGCCCCCGGGCTGCCCAGACTCCGCAGGACCCTCCCCCCGCCGGGCAGCCTTCCYTGGGTGGGGGAGGGGGAGGGCAGCGGATTCCTGATTGACAGGCGCCGACCTGCCTCCGCAAGGGATTCTGGGAAGAAACTGGGAGGCCGCTGTGGCCCGCTGCAGATTTCGGGGTTCGGGCTCTGGGGGTGGGGGCCTCTCCCAGGCCCTTCCCCTGGGGCCCCGGAAGGAAGTTCTGGAAGCATCAGGGATTTGGACCCAAAAGGCTGCATTTTGCAGAAAACCTGGGATCTGCCCAAAAGGGTTTTTTTTTAATCTCGTCCCTCTCCTGCCCCCTGCTGGCCGAGGCTGGTGTCTGCAGGAGGCCGTCCAGGAAGCCGAGGTCATTTCTTCTTCTGCAAATTTACTAGTGTCCTCGGGATTGCGGTGTCCAGGGCCTGCGGACCAGGGGCCTCACAGCCATAGGGATCTGTCCTCTGCCAGTCCTRGAGGGCACAGGCTGGACCAGGTCCCCGGCTGACCTCCCTGCACAGCCTCCAGGGAGGCTCCTCCTGCCTCTCCAGCTCCTGGGCTCCAGGTGGCCCTGGGCGGGTGGCCCCTCACTGCAGTCTCTGCCTCCGTCTCCACGGGGCTCCTCCTCTGGGTCTGTGTCCCCTCCTCTGTCTCTGGGGAGGACATGGCCATGGCCTGAGGGCCCCCTGACCCAGGAGGAGCCCATCTCAGGACCCTCCACTAATGACCTCTGCAGAGACCCTGTCCCCACACCA